CAAGTGAGGAAAGGCCAAGTGGAACTTAGCCTGCAGCTCAGCAGAAGGAATCCATTGCTCATTAGCCATCTCCTACATGTTGCATAAAAGTTCCTGAAGAGTTACGGTTTTTAAGGCAAAATTACGTAAGTAAAGCAAATTTTGCCTTAATGAAATGTCTTTTGAGAAAAGAAGATTACTTTTTCCTTTTTCAATTAAAAATTTTTAGGAGATGATACTAAATAGTCTTTGGCTTTTATTTGACTTGTAAAATTAATCCTACATTTTTCTTTCTGATAATTTGTTTCTTTACATGCTGTGATTAACAAAATCATTAATAAACTCCTTCTTCTATGCAAATAAAAAAGGAAAAGTATAGCATTTTTTTCTTTCTGGTTCTCCATCCACATATCTAATGACTTTCTGACTTTACATCCCAGAAGTCACCATTTCTTGCTTAGAGAAGCTACTTCTATCAGAGGCACCACAGAAGCCTCTGTTCCTCACCTTCATCTTCATGGAAGATTCTCTGCAAAAATGGTGCAGCATTCCTGTAATCTGAGCACTCAGGGAGGCTGAGGCCAGAGGACTATAAATTCCAACCCAGCCTGGGGCATTTAGTAACTCAGTGAGACTTTATCTCAAAGTCAAAAAAGGCAGGGGATGTAGCTCAGTGCAAAAGCCCTGGATTTAATCATCAGTATTAGAATATAAGGGGGGGGGAGAAAAGAGAGAGAAAGAGAGAGAGAGGAAGGAAGAAGGGAAGGGGGAAAAGCTAAAACCCTCAGTAAAGTCCTTCTCACACCTGATCTTAAGAGTGTTTCAGAACAGCATCGCCTTTGCAGAAATGCTTGCTTACTTTATGAAGATTCGTATGGTCCAATCATGCATCAAGGCAATGAGACTATTTTCCAGCCTTTAATGTTTTTGTTTTAGTGATGCCAATTAACTGAAAAATGGTATAGACATTGGTGCTAGGGATATTTGTGCTACTTTGATATCGAAGATAAGTTTTGATTCTTGCTATCCAGTGTACCTAAAATAAATTTAATCACAAAAGCATGAAAGCTGCTCTGTTGTAAATTATGAATCACCTATATTCAAGAATTTCTCCCAAGGGATATAGATTGGAAGAATTTTGTGTGCTTGGCCATTTTCTTTTTCTTTTTTGGTGGTACTATGAATTGAAGCCATGACCTTGTAAGACCGCTGGCCCTACCAAACGCTCCGAGGAGCTAACTGTAGTGAAGCACACCCAGGGATCCCAGCAGTGCCTCCAGAATGTAAGACCAAGGGCCTTACCAAATGCTCTGAGGAGCTGACTGTAGTGAAGCACACCCAGGGATCCCAGCAGTGCCTCCAGAATGTAAGACCAAGGGCCTTACCAAATGCTCTGAGGAGCTGACTGTAGTGAAGCACACCCAGGGATCCCAGCAGTGCCTCCAGAATGTAAGACCAAGGGCCTTACCAAATGCTCCGAGGAACTGACTGCAGCGAAGAACACCTGGGAAGGAACACACCGGACAAGTTGGAAAATAAAACAGACCTTAGTCTGGCCAGATGGCACTCCCAAAGCAAAGTAGCTTAGAGAGGCAATCAGCCCAGAGTCCAGGCTCTTTTATAGGGGATTGCAGGGAAGTTAACAGGTGAAATTTACAGAAGAGGGAACAAAGGTTAGTGGTCTTACATTTGTATGTTAATTAGCCTGACAAGTACTGGTGGTCAGCAGATGTTTTGTAGATTGTTCTATACATAGCGGTGTCCAGAACATTAGTTTTCAAACAAAGAGTTGAATAATTTACTTTGGGACCTTATGGCTGATACAGATCTTATCTAGTGTCCGGGAACTAACAAGCATCTTTATCTATTTACTCACATTCAATCACAGTTGGGGCTAGGGGAGTTTTATGATTACAGAGTTATGCAGTCCCACAACCTCATTGAGCTATATCCTCTGATCTCTTTTTTCTTGTTGTTGTTTTTAATTTTGAGGTAGGGTCTCACTAAGTCAGTAAATTTCTCAGGTGGGACTCAATCTTTCAATCCTTCTGCCTCAGCTTTCCAAAGGGTTAGATTGTGATGCGTGCCAACATGCCTGGATGTACTTGGTCTTATGATTCTGGCATGCTCTTCAGAGAAAAACAAGTCTGTAGTTTTTACATTTTTACAACACTCACCTTACCTGCTATATTATTTTGGGTTTGTTTGGGTTTTTTTGTACCAGGAATTGAACTCAGGACCTTGCACTTGCTAGGCAAGTGCGGCACCACTGAGCTACATCCCCAGCCCCAACTATATAATTTTCTGCAAGGTAGATGAATATTTAAAAACTGACATTTAAAGCAATGAAGATATTTTTATACCTTCGTATACAACATCAACCACATTAGGAACCATAAAAATTATAATACCTAAGGATCTCAAAATAAAATAATGTACAATAAATAATCTAATAAACTAGAAAGTGTGTTGAATTATAATACTTAAAGAGAAGTAAAATATACATAGAAAAAGAACAACAAGACTACTCTTAGATCTCTTGCAGGTGAGATTTGAGCAAAGATCTATGGCTAGAAACTTTCCAGACAAGGGGAACTCAAGTGTCAAGACTCTTACATGGGAGCCTAACTGCTGTGTTCTGGAATTAGTGAGGGGGTCAGTATGGCTGCATGACCAAGGACAGTGCAGGAAATTTAAGAGGCAATGGGGACCAAAGAGCATTAGCCTTGCAATCCACAGTAAGGACTGTGGATTTAATTCTATGTGTTATGGAAAACTTTAGCAGAATTTTAACATGACTACCTTAATTTATGTTTAGAAATTCAGTTTTGAGACTTCCAAATTAGTATGTGTGCAAATCTTTTCACTGCAGTCCTTTCTAGGTTCCCAAATAGAAAGCACTTTCAATTCTTACCTTTTTCAGAAGTTTTTTTTAAAAAAGGCAATTCTAACCTTAATAGTGTCGGCATCAGAATACCAGAGGACGAGACCAGGGTTTTCCCCCACAATTCACACATATAATTCCTACCTGCACACAGAAAACACAACCAAACCTTCATTACATTCCAAAAGCACTAGTCTCCTCAGCACTTTTATCCATAGCATAAGTCAAGATTATTGTAATCCTGGACATTTCATAGCACAGTATCAGTTAAGGTATCAAAATTTGACAACAAAGGCACATTCTGCAAACTGAGAAATGATTTGTCAAAAGGAAAAACATCTTCTTCCTAAATGACTATGACTCTCAGGTGACTTATATGTTTCATATTGCTGATACCAGAGTAAATGGACAGGGGTACAGAGTGAAGTGGGAGGACCTAGAATCTACTTCCTTTTGTGATACCGTGTTGCAGGGCAAAAGCATTTATCTCAACAATACTTTACACTATTCATGATTCAATATTAATTATGAGCTCTGAATAATTACCTATGAGCTTCTAGGTAAGCTAGGATTTTTTAAGGTGTGTGTGGAGTCATTGTATTTCTTTTCAAATTTCATAGAAAACTCCAAGTTACTGGATATATCTGAAAAGTGAAACGTTTATGCTACTTCTGGGAAAATTCTCACTGATGCTTAGACATAATTGAGCATGCCTTGCCTTACCTTGCCTTGAATCAACCACTTGTCAAATTGACACACAACCAACAGAAAATCAGAATACTCTTCTAGGGTTCTTTTGTTTGTTTTAAAATATAGTTGTTCCTGGAACCTGGGCTAGAGCCTGGCTGCTCAGTGTGGTCCACAGACCAGAAGAATGAGTAACGGGGAACTGAAATGCATGATCTTAGGCCTCACCTGGCTCTACAGAATAAGAATCTACCCTTAAACAAGCCTTTCTGGTTATCTACATGAACATTAAAAATTGAAAAGCAATAGCGTAGAGTAGTATTTCTCTCTCTCAGGTTGATGGTAAACTGATCACCCACATCAGAATCACCTATGTAAGAATCTCTTAAAAAGTAGTTTTCTGGACCTTACCACAGACTTGAGTCAGACTCTTGGGTGCCCTTAAAACTGTATCACAAACAAGTTCCTCACCCAGTCACTTAGGCAATCTAAAGTTTAGAACGACAGAACAGCATTTTAAGACATTATATGCTTTGTTATTTTCATATATATGGTTTCTTCATGAGACTAAAAACACTGAGCAAGGTGTACCTAGAATGATAAAATGATCAAACTTCACATTTAGCATAGAAAGACACATCACACACACACACACACACACACACACACACAAATAGTATTAGAGGTAAGAGCAAATAGACTGCCTTTAATGCTAGAAGATTAAAATCATCGGAGGTTCCCTTGCGTGTTAGAATGGAATGCAGACTAACTAGTTAATTGTGTCAGAGAGGAAAGGGAATAAATCATAACTTCATCACACCTCTTATACTCTTGTTTAAACACCACTTTCTGTACTATTTGAAACATTAAAATTTTATTTGATTCTAACAAGCTACTCTCTGTACAGAAAAAGTATTTTTTCATATATAAAAAATATTCAAAGTATCAAAAATATACTGTTTTCATCCCTTTTCTATTTGGTGATGGTCTTTATTAAAATCGCTAGAGGTGAATTTTTTTCACATATCAAACTGAAACCTGCTGCTCTATTTATGCGGCTCCATAGAAAAACTATCCAATCTTTTGGATGTTTAAAAAAATCCACTTAGATACAATTTTCACTTTCTATTTGGGTGTTTAGCATAAGAAAATCATGACTTAAACTCCATTTTGTGAGGTCCAAATTAACCTTAAAAACACTGGGATATTGAGAAATGTGTATCATGCTGCTCTCAACTTGGATCTAACTTTTTAGTATTGTAAAACAGTTTACACTAAAATATTTAAAATACCCAAAATACCAGCACACAGGACTTTATTTACTCTGACTTAGTACTTGAAAATTAAAGAGAAGAAAGGGAGACATACTAATAGGAATAGGAAATGATATTTGAAAAGCATGAGTAATTTTTAACACCTTTGGGTTTCTACTTTCAGAAACATAACTTACCTCAGAGTATAGGATTCCCATGTTGGTCCTTCACAGGCCTGCTTCCCCTCTAGGGCTTCTTGAATCTTTCCAAGGTATTTCTGATTAAAATCAAAGTTCTTCTGGAGAGAAAGTTCCCTAGAAGCCTAAGCTGTGGCAAGCCTTGTCCTTCCACACCTCTGAGTGTTTTCCAGCAATGCAGAGAGTAATAGGTTCCTTCTACAGAGACCTACCTGAGAAACAAAGGCATTGGCTTACTGAGTAATGACCCAAGTGGTGTATCATTGCATGTTACAACCTGAGGAGCCAGTTTCTGAGTCATATTTGCTCTGCCAGTGGTAGTGTACAAGAAAGAAGGAAGCACAATTGGGGTGGGGGAGTGGAAAGTTACTAAATTGACAGGAAGGATTCTGGGCTCAAAACAGGATCCAGTGTTTAAGACTTGTCCTATAATTGAAATCTGGTTTTCAATGCCCATTAAGAAAGGCTGCATTAGGGGCCAGGGATATAACTCAGTGATGCCATGCCTGTCTGGCAAGCACAAGGTCCTGAGTTCAATCCCTGGTCGGGGGGGGGGGTGCTACAGGCCAATAGACACACTTGTGAAAGCCATATGTGCCTGCCAAAGGATTGAGAAATAATAAATACTCGGATTTCTCAAAAGTTATTACTGACAAGTAATACCTCCCAACTGTTTAAACAGTCCTGTAAACTAATAAATTAAATGCACTTTTTTATTTTTTAAATTTAATTGACACATAATAATTATGCACATTTAAAGGATAATTGCATAAAGTGATGATGCAGTATAAATGTATAATGATCAAATTGGGGTAATTTGCATTTCTATCCTTAAACTTTTATAATTCTGTCATGTTGGAAACCCTCTAACACTTATCTTTTGGTTCTTTATAAGATTTACAACAAACTGTTGTGGACTATAGTCACCAGACCCTGCTGTGAAGCACTAGAACCTATTCCTCCTATCTAATTGTATTTCAGTACAGTTATTCAACTACTTCTACCCCTACTCTTCTTACAGCCCCCAGTGACTGCTATTCTAATTCTCAACTTGGTAGTATAAGAAATTTTAAGTTGTCTTAAATACTCTAATACTATTTACCAAGTTATCCAAATTATTTTATAGCATTTAATTTAATAATTACAAGTTTAAAATCAATTACTCTGTTTATAATTTTAAAGCAAATCATCAATTTATTTGGTCAAGCATGCTAATAGGTCAAATCTCTTGAACACTAAACATTTTGTGTGGTACATACATGGCTAATTATTTAAACATTTTGTCCTTACTTAACACCAATATATCAAAGAACTGTCTTAAACTTTCTCAGAATTTAAATACACCCCCTTCAAAACACACACACACACACACACACACACACACACATCCATAAAATAAATGGTACAAGCAAGTCAAGCAAACTGATATGATTTTTTCCAATCAGTTGAGGTTCTTTAGTGGCCAAAGATTAGGGGACAGGATCCAAGGCCTGTCCTGCATGTATATATATAGTGAAGTTCTTCCTAGTCCACTGATTGATATTCTGAGTTATTTTTTGCAGTAGTTATAACAAAAATCATATATTCCACTATTCTATGGAGTTGTCTAAGACCAACCTCCCAGGAGTTGAAGAATTAGCTAATTCTTTGGGAGGAAATGGAAATCTGCAATACCCACCAACTTTGCAGTTGACTTCCTCTTTGGTTTAGTTTTATTTTGCATTTCTTTAGTTTCCTAACACATTTAAGTCCATTCCCATCAACTTAGAAAACACTGTTTTCTCCTCAGGTACTTTATTGTTATGCAAATTTTTTACTCTTATGCAAATCTTTTGTAACCCCTTGTTGTCTCTTAACTAAATTGTGTGGACTGAACTCTTAACTGCTTCTTCTAATCTTTGCTAAGGTTCTCCAAGCTCTTTCCCTCTTGAGTGAACACTAAAGGTTTCTTTAATTTGCTATCTGGATCACACTTCATCTCATTGGATTCTACATTTTTTTAACAATAACTCAAAGAATTTTTATTGGCTATAAATAATGTATTGATTGCTACAATCTGGTCTTTACAAAAAAAATATTTTTTTCAAAGTAATTAAATAGAGACCCTTAGGACTGCTAAATGGGACTCCCCTTGGTGAATAAAGGAGCAACTGCCCAGAAAATAATTATTCTGATCTTTGTTCACTAATGTGTACCCCATTAATTTTCATAACCTTGTGGGAGACACACCCCACCAAACATTGTCTCAATATACTATTATAAATTGGTTATATTATTTATCATCAAAGGGTTAAGCTCTGGTATTATAAAATGTTTATATTGGCTAAGTTCTAAATATGTTATTGTGATATGTTTACATTGGTCATCTTCAAAAGATTAATTTCTGTGCCAGGAATTTAGCTCAGGGGTTCTGCCACCTGCCTCACAAGTGCAAGGTCCCAAGTTCGACCCCGGTACCAAAAAAAAAAAATGTGTAGTATCAAAAGATTAATTTCTGTGCCAGGAATTTAGCTCAGGGGTTCTGCCACCTGCCTCACAAGTGCAAGGTCCCAAGTTCGACCCCGGTACCAAAAAAAAAAAATGTGTAGTATCAAAAGATTAATTTCTGTGGGATTAACAACAAGGTGTTATTAGAAAGATGCTTTTGGTACCAAACTACATTAGAGGAAGTAAGGTTTCATATAATTGTGTTACTTATTATTGCTACTTTTCTAGTGTACAAAATGTATTCATCTACATATTTTTCTTGATGTCATTCAGTTCTAAAGGAACAATACTCATTATATTAACAAAAGATTAACGGTTTCAATATATGATATTAACTCTAAAACCAAACCAATAAAAAGTCAACTGATTCATTGCAATTGGTAAAACACTTGCATTTAACTCCAGACCAGTGAGTCTCAACCAGGGGTGATCTTGTCCCCAGATGAACTGTCAGATTTAGCAAATAAAAATATAAGTTAATCTTGAATTTCAAATAAATTTCCAAAATATTGCATGGGACATACCTATACCAAAAATTTTTATGCTGTTTAACTGAATGCTAAAGATTTAGCAGTGCTTGGGAACATTTTTGGTGGTAACACCTGGGCATGGAAGCTTGCTACTGGTGTCTATGGGCAGAGCCCAGAGATGGTGCTGAACATCCTACAGAGCACAGGGCACCTTCTCACAATAAAGAATTATCTTGTCCAAAATCATGCTAAGGTAGAGAGACCCTGGTCTAAGTTTACCAATAGGTGGAGACAGAGGACTTGATCAATTATGGTAATAGAAAAAAATCTAGTCAGAAATACTGTCAAAATAAAGAGTGGCAAACAGTTTCCAAAGATGTATTCAGGGTTTGCTCTCTAGCAAATTGAGCCTGTAATAACAAAGACAGGTCAAGAAAAGGAAGTTCCAGGAAATGCCTTTCACACATAAATGTCTTAGGTCAAGAAATAACTTCTGAGTCTGATACTCAGGCCTTAAATTTGGAAGCATCCAAAAAAAAAAAAAATAGGGCCAGGGATTTAGCTCAGTGGTTTCGCCGCCTGCTGTACAAGCGCAAGGACCCAAGTTAGATCTCCGGTACCAAAAAAAAAAAAAAAATTTGGAATCATCCATTTGATCCTGGCTACAGAAGTCGCCAACCTCAGCTGGCTAGCATCCAACTCTCTGTGAGGAGCAAGGGGCTCCAGGAA